TGGCTTTTAAATTATATCTATGCTTATGACTTGGACATCTTCTCTCCAGCCCAACTTTGCCCTGAGCTCTGGGCTTGTATAACCAATGATTTCTTGGATGTTTCATGGGCATCTCAAACCAAACATCCCCAACAGAACTCTGCTTTCAAACCCAGATCTACAGCCTCCAAATCTATGGTTTCCAAGATCTATAGCCCCCAAATCTATAGTTCCCCAAATCTACAGATGCTCAAATCTACAACTCCCTAAATCTATTATTCCCCCAAATCTACAGCCCCTGAAATGTATAGGCCTCAAATCTAGAGCTCCCCAAATCTACAGCCCCCTCAAATCTGTGGCTCCTCAAATCTACAACTCCCCAAATCTTAGACCCCCAAATCTGTAGCCCCCAACTCTACAGCTACCCAAATCGGCAGCTCCCCCAAATCTGTAGCCCCCCAGTCTCCCTCATTTCAATAACCAGGACCACAGGTCCCCCAGCTACCTCCCTTCTTTCCTTCACGCATCCCACCCCTTAGCAACCTCTTGGCAGCACCACTTCCCCGAATCCCAATCTGGCCATCTTGCCCCTTCCACCACCTGTATTCATCTTCAGTGCCCCATAACACGTTATTCCAGACTTAGTGGCTTGAAACAATAGTCATATCTCAGTGTCCAGTCAGAAGTCGGGGCATGGTGTGACGGGGTTCTCTGTCTGCGGTCTTACAAGATTGCGTCCCTACCTGGGCTGGGCTGCGTCCCTACCTGAAGGCTCCGGGGAAGAATCCACTTCCAGGCTCATTCAGGTTGTTGCCTGGATTTGGTTCCTCATGGCTGTAGGATTGAGATCACCGTTTCCCAGCTGGCTGTCAGCTGGGGGTTGCTCTCCGTCTCTAGAGTCTGCCTGAATTCCTTGCCATGGGGCCTCCTCCATCTTCAAAGCAGGCATGGAGACTCTCCCCTCCCTCGAATCCTCTCATGCTTCTCATTTCATTTGCCAGAAAGAGAGCAGCTCCTGTGAAGGGCTCGGCTGTTTAGGGCAGGCCCACCAAGGATGATCTTCCCATCACAAAATCACCTGGTTTGGGACCTTCATTACCTCTGCAGAACCCTTCACAGCAGCTCCCAGATTAGTGTCTGATTGAATAATTGAGAGATGGTGTGTATAGACCAGGGGGCAGGAGTCTTGGGGTCCCCTTCGAATGCTGCCTACCTGCCCCCCCTTGTCCCAGCTATCATCCTCTCTTCCCTGGACCACTGCACATGCCACCTCTGGGCTTTGCTGCTTCTACTCCTGTTCCATGTTGTCTGTTCTCCACCCAGCGGAGAGTGACCTTTTAAGAGCAGAGATTGCATCACCTCCCTATTTAAAAACTTCGAAGAGCTTCCCATTGTACCTAAAATAAAATCTGAGATCTTTCTCATGGCCTGGAAGGCCCCGCCTGGCCCTGCCCCTCCCCCATTCAGACTTCCTCTCCTCTCCAGCCACACTGACCTTCTTGCTCATCCTATAGTGCTCAGCTGCGTCCCACTTGAGTTTTATGCCCGCAGTCCCTCCACCTGGTGGGCCTCCCCCACCCGTCCTGAGCTCTGCGCGGCTGGCCCCTTCTCCTCCTCCAGATCTCGGTCCGGATCCCCCCTCAGCCTGATGCGATCCCATCCCCAGTCCTTTCAAATTACCCTGTTTTGTGATCTCTTTTATACTCACACTTTCATGTTACCTTGTTTTACTTTTAAAGAATTTGGCTCTTTCTCTGACAGTCTGACACCCAACTCTCCGAAATCACCTTCATCTATTTATTCACTGAAACACTGTCTGCCTGCTCCCGCCAGAAAGCTAACTTCACCTGCTCACCTGCGCACAGCACCCACTCACTGTGTGTTGAGTGAGGGAACGCGTGGATGTGCGATGTTTTGGACTGGTGCCCTCCCCTCCATCTCTGCCACCACCATCTGTCACCTGGGTATGCCCATCTTCACCTCTCTCCCTGCTCACATTTGCACCTCCTCCAGAGTGTCCTCCATGAAGCTGCCAGAATGATCCTTTAAAAATACACATCTTGGGGGTGCCTGGGTGGCTCAGTTGGTTAAGCGTCCAACTCTTGATTTCTGCTCCGGTCATGATCTCAGGGCTGTGGGACTGAGCCCCGCGTTGGGCTCCGCACCGGGGGTAGAGTCTGCTTGTCCCTCTCCCTCTGCTCCTCCTCTCCCGGCCCCCCCCAACCCCGCTCTCTCTCTCTCTCAAATATATAAATAAATAAAATCAAGGCCACAGCCTTGCCCTGATTGCAAATCTCCAGTGGTTTCCTGTTTCCCCAAAAGAAATTCCATTTGCCCAGCGTTTGAGGTCCTTACCACCTGGCGGGGATGAGTCACGATAGCACGCTTCCAGGTGTGGGATGAGGACCCCAGTGGCATGCTGAGTGATTTTAGGGATACACAGGGACAACATTAGGTGGCGTGTGCAATGATTGTGGGGTGGGACACTGGTCCCTGTCCTTCCTCCCACCCACAGGTTGCACTTCCTGCTGCTTGCCCTGACTTCTAGCTCCACTCTCTCTCCTCAAACTTGAGTGCGCTTCTGTCTTTTCTCTGCCTTCCTATCCCCTGAATCCTTCTCCTGCAAGAGCACGCCATCCCTTTCCTGACCACAGCAATCACTCCCTCAAACTACCATCTCACTGCCTGTCTCTTTCACTCCTTTGGCTCTTAATATTCGACTGCTTTGTTTTTTCCCACTACAAAGGAAAATCGTAAGGTCCAAGAAGGAGACACCTTGTGATACTGCTTCATCATAACCCCCAGGATTCTTTGGCATGAGGCTTTGCCCGTTGACTGTTTCTGTGCCCACCATCCAGTGACCCAGTTATCGACGTCCTCCTCGATCATGGCGGCTCCTGGTGTCAGACAACTGGCAGTTTGAATATCAGCTGTCACATCAGTTACGGACCTTGGGCAAGTCCCTTCCTCATTTATAAAATAGAACAACAAGGTGCCCAACTCAAGGGGGTTATCATGAGGATCAAATTCTGTCCAGCAAAGTCTGGCAAAGAGGAAGAAGTCAAATGTTGTCCTTGGAATCAGCAGTTGGTTCTTAGTTGCACTATCATCAAACAGCTGTTTGGGATCCTGGGATTCTGGTCTCTTAGATCACATCTTGGAATTTACATATGACATTCCAATTTGAGAAATGTAGATCAAAGGTGATCTGGGTTCTGTGAAAGAGGAAGTAGGGCATCCCCACCAATTTGGGGTGATGGGTCAATCACACTGCATGGAATTCTCTATGGATCCTCATGCAGCTTATCACCTCCACTTCTCATCCCCACTCTGAGCAATGGGGTGCCATTTAGAATAATGGGATAAAAAGCTTTGAGCATCATGGCTTTGGAAGCCACCTTTGTAGGTGGGGGAGGGCTAGTTCCCAGTTCTCAGTGAGGCTACAGGCGTTGGTAGAAGCAGCATGGATTCAAGTTCTGGCTCAATGGCTCCCTAGCTGTGCGCCTTAGGACAAGTTCCTTCACCTCTCTGAATCTTGGTTTCATCCACTCTAACCTGGGGATGATGGGATCTGCTCTTTGTCACCCAAGCTGATGTTGTTTTGCAACTGAAATGGAAATCAAACTGGAAGCTCTGGCCGCCCACGCTGAGATCTGAGATAAACTGGGGCAAAGGGCTGATGAGGTGGAAGAGCCAAGGCCAGAGGGATTTATGGCAGCCCAGGGTTTATGGTTTTGATATGGATTTATTAAGCCGGGTCTAGGACTGCAGTAGCTTCCTCTGGCCCCCAGCCCCCACGTCCATGCTGGTAGCCGCATGGACAAGGCTTGTGTTGCAACGCAAGGCAAAATATTTCCTGGAGCTCAGGAGGGGAGGGAAGGGACAGGGGGAAGCAGGAGTGGCCTCGGGGATCTGCAGGCAGTTAATGGGTGCCCATGAGGCTGGAGAACTTGATGATTAGCTTCTCATTAGAAAGGGTCTGGATGGAGGGTTCACACTGAGCCCCTGGTGGTGGGCACCTCATACCCAAAAGCTCTTACAGATACTCTGGTCTCATTCATTTTAATCCTGACAACACTCCCAGAGGGAGGCGCCATTCCCAGTTTACAGATGAGGCTCAGAGAAGTGGAGTTACACTGATCGGTGACTCCCAGGCCAGAACCGTTGTCACCTCCCTTGGGGAAGCTGCAAGGGTCGCCCTGGTGTTCCCACACCTGGGCATCCGGAGTCTAGCCTCCCAGCAAGCCCTCTCCCCCCATCACTGAATGCCGTGGTACGCCGGTGACATGTAGCAACTTGCTCCCCAGGGGCAAAGCCTTGGTCTGTAGCTCTTGCCCACTCTTGCCCCACTGTCACCATCAGTACCCCACTGCCAAGCATGAAGTTGGGAAGAGAAGCTAACAACTGGCTCTCTAGTGCATACCCCCGAGTGAATATGAGGTTGGGGTGCGTGGTGGCCACAGCACGAGCCCACCTACCTAGTTTATCAGGGGAAAGGACCAAGGTGGCAACAGACCTAGCTAGAAATTCTCGAGTGCGTCCTTGCCTTTATTCTTTTTTAAAACAACACTTGCCTTTATGAAATGTCCCCGTGCCTCCTCATCCCCTACGGCCGGCCGTTGGCCCAGGTCCCTGGCAATGACCCAAAATCGGGCTCCATCTTGGACCCTGTTGCCATCCTCCCAGATCTTTCCATCGCTCTCCCACCACATCCCTCCCCTTTCGAGAGGGAGGGTTGACTTTCATTCTCTCTACATAGTGAGCGCTTGGAATCAGGGGTCAGGGTTAGAGTCCCACTTCTGCCTCTACCCTGAGCCTTGGTTTTCTCAGCTCTAAAAGGTGAAGGGGGACAAGGATAATAATGTCTAACTTGCTTACCTCTTGATGCGAGATTAGAAAGCAATAGTGTATATAAAAGCATTTTGCAGAGCATAAAAGACTATCTGGCTATTCTCATTCTTGTTTCTAACACTTGACAAGGAAGAAAGGACACCCATCCAAGGACTTAGAAAACATATGTGCCATTTATTTTGCTTTATAAACTTTTGTTAAAACACACAAGAGTAAGAAATGGTTTTTTTGCTTCTTTGCCCCATTGGGCGGCAGTGACGGGCTCAGGGGTCCACACAGGAGCTGGTGGTAATCACACCCACAGGAAGCAGAATCGCTTGGTGTGAATTTCACAATTCATCCCAGTCAGGGAAAATCACAGAACAATTTGGCAAAAGTAATTGGCTTGGTCATCACACAAAGTCCAAGGGCATACACCTCCAACCCTCTCCTCTGTCCATGCTGCAGGGAGTCATGTGAATTCTGGAAGCTCCTGAGAGCTGCCCAGAGAAAAGGCTATCTCAGGGGAGGAACTGGAGGGTCCATGCTTGCCCTCCCAACCCTTGTTTAGTTCTCCAGATTTTATATTTTAGGACCAGAACTCAGGTGGCAAAGAGAGAGAGAGAGATTTTCCAATGCCATATCCTCAGAATCAGAAAAGTAAACTGCTCTGTTTTGGGCTTCCTGCATTACAATAAAATTATTAAAATGGAATGGATTTCTCCTCCTGGAAGGGTTAATTTGGGGCTGAGGACTGAGCCCCTGACCCAGAAGATTGCTACTGTTAAAAGCCACTGCTAGCTTACTCCATCCTGTGGAAAATTCTTATCTCAACTTCGCTCCCATGACCGAGGCCTGAGCAACACTGGGGGCTGGAGGAGCAAAGAGTGGGAATGACCACAATGACAGAAAGATTCTGGCTTCCCCACCTTACCCCAGACGAGCCTGGGTTCCCTGACTGGGATTTCTGGGGACTCAGAATGAGGGATGGCTGGGAAGGCTTGAGAGCTCTGAGCATGGGACAGTCTCTCCTGGGACTGGGGACTTAGCTTGGAGGCACAGGCAGGCTGCTCCTGGGACCGCTGGAGATGTAGAGGTTTCTCTTGGACATACTGCCCTCAAACCCCCCATGCCTCTGTCACAAAAAGCAATCACTAATGGTGGAATTTGGGGGCACTGCGGTCCTGCCTCCGTCCACTCAGAACAGTCAGCCTGGGGTGGGGATAGGTGGCCAGGCTAACTGTTCACTCTCCTACCTAAGCACAGCTCCAGCCCCACAACACATCTCTTTTGTTCCCAATGGCTAGTAGCACTTTCCAGAATTTTCCCAAAGCCACCAAAATTCCCAAGGATGATGTGCTGGCCGTTCCATTTTGGGGCTTAATGTTTCAGAGCAGTGCTCAAACCCAGGGCTTCTCATCTTTCCCTGGCCCACCCAAACTATCCAACTCTTGGACTGCCAGGCCACATTGGTCCATCTCCTAAGAACCAGACCCCTGACGCCCCTCCCCCGGACTTGGGGAGTGAGGAGAGGAAAGGGGTCCAAGAGTTATGAATTCTCCTGTTCTTTAGCAGACAGGATGCTGGACCCTACCCGGACATCAGTATAACTCCAAGCCAATCTTAGTCCTGGGTGTGGGCAGGGCCCCTGGGAAGAATAAGACTTTGGCTTCTGAGGCTGATGACAGGGGCAGGAAGTCCATCAACTGGCTCACAGTGAGGAGAGAGGGGCCCTTTCAGAGATGCTCAGCCACCCTGGTTAAGAACTCCTATTATGATCCAGGCAGACCTGGGATCCAATCCTGACTCAGCCACTTACTAGCTGTGTGAGTTCTAGGAAAATCACTTAACCACTTAGACCTCAATTTCATCTTCTGCAACAGTCTCTGGGTAATAGAGAAGATGCAATGAGATGATGCATGTCAAGTGCCTTAACACAGCGCCAGAAATGAGGCAGAGTTTGAGAGAGGCCCAGGACGGGGGTAATTCCTCCCTGACATCCTTCTGAGCTGAGCTCGCACCCATCCATCTTCATCTCCAGGTCTCCTCACTCTCACCTGGATCACATCACCAGCCCCCCATCTGATCTCCCTGCTCCCTCCCGGCTCACTGCGCATCCTCCCTAGCTACTCCCAAACCTCAGTGCCTCAGTCCTGGCATTCAAGGCTCCTCTGTTGCTCCAAACAGCCTGGTCTTTCCATCACCTCCCCCCTGTGCCCTTCTTCCAACCTGGGGCCTTGCCCAGACTGTTTGCCCCTCCTTGGAAAGGCCTTCTCACCTGCTCTGCTGGCTGGAATCCAGCCCTTCCTTAAAGGCCTAATGCAGAGTCTGCCCCTTTCCCCGAACTTTCTCTAACCACTTCAGCCCCTCCAAGTTCCTGTTGCAATTGTCCACCTTGGGTTGTCCTCTCGTTGTTGACAGTCTGTGGAGAGCATCACCCTGGGTACCCGCCCGATTCCCTAAGAAGGGAAGAGCCATGGGTCAGAGGTGGAATGGTGTCTTCCTTCTCAACAGTCCCGCACTGTGCCTAGCCCAGCTAGTCTTTTAAAATGCTCCTGGAATGACTGGGGGACTGTTTGCAAGTCTTCTTCAGCCCCTGGAGAGGTGGCTGTGGAGAAATTAGGATGGCTGAGGAAGGTGAGAGTGGCAGGTGGAGAGAAGCGTTGGAGATTGGGGCAGCAGAACAGGGAGGGGTCAGATGCCCCGATCTGACCCAGCCTTGGAGGGCTCAGTGTCTGGGGACTAGGACAGTACTTGGAGAAAGAAGTACCAGTCTGAAGGGGAAGGGAGCTATTAAGCAAGGTCCCATGTCGTCTCCAGACAGCTGTCCTTTGGGGCTGAAGAAGTTGGGGGAAGGTATGATGAAGGGGAAGGCAGTGGCTTCAGCAAGAGAAGAGTTGTCCAAGGCGGCAGAGGATTTTCCATCTGGGGTCTCCCCAAGTCAGAGCCCTGTCATCCCGAGCAGCGGGTGGAGGGTAGCGATGGGATGTGGCCCACAGCCCAAGTTCTTGGTCCCCTTGCCCTTTCCACTGCTGCCCTGAGACTGGCCTTGTTGTCACAGCTTCCTTCCCTGGGAACAAGAGACCACCGGGGCTCTCTGAGGGGGCTGGGAGGCCAGCAGAGCCCCCGACCCCCCGCGGCTTGCTAGATGACTTCCTGCTTGGTGATGGTCGGCTGGGGGATGGCAGAGGGGGGCTTGACAATGGTGGCAATTGCTCCCGGCAGGAGCTTGTAGGGCTCAGACCCCGAGCCACCTGGCGGTGAGGGCTGTGGAGTCTCAGGGGTAGCTGCAAGGACAGAGAGACAGACAGAGGCTGCTGAGAACTCCAACCTTTTGGGGAGTAACCAGAGTCTTGGGAAGGTTCTTCCCCCTCTCTGAATCAGTTCCCTCTTCTACAAAATGAAAGAATTAAACTACACAATGTCTAAGGTCTCCTACAGCTCAAACCTTCTGAGTCCCAGATCATGAAGTCTAAGTCTGGTGAGGTCGGGAAGGCTATGGCTGGGCCAGGTGTGGCCAGAGGCTTCTGCCCACGTCCTACCAACCTCCATCTCCTCCACCATTTAACATGGAGATCGAGGCTGCTTCTCCCAAACCAGGGCCTGATTCTGACTCTCTTCAAGGACAGTGGGACATGTGACAGCAATGTCCTTTCTTGGAGAGAAAGAGCAGCAATTGATGAGACCCAAGTGTCTGGCCAAAAATACCATTTCTCTGATATTTAGGTAGATGAATAATGGAAACTAATTGGCCTCACAGCATCATGTATTTGAAACTCAACTTTGACCATGGCCCACTTGGCCAACTTTATTCGATGGACAAGTATCCCAAAGAACAATCTCATGCTAATGGACCACCTCATCCCAATGACACTCTTACTTTTTGGAGAATTTCGTCCAATGACAAACTCACTCTTGGGAGATTTCACCTCAGAGGACCATCTAGACCGGTGGACATCCCCATCTCATGAGTAGTTTCACCCAATTGTGTAATGGATAGTCTTACCTAATTGGGCAGTCTTACTTCAAAGAACAGTTTCACCTAATAGGCAACATCACCTAATGGAATTCTTATCCCAATGGACATGTTCACCCAATGGATCCCTCATCCCAAGGATAGCTTCATTCCATAAAGGCTGTTAATTACCTCACTGAATGAATGGCCTCAGTGAAAAAAACAGCCTTAACAAATGGACAATCTCACTCCTCATTCCATACCCTGGAGCACAGAGAACTGTTATATCCCAGTTACCATCTTCTAGACCCACCCATCCTGGCTCCCCTCTTAGGTCCCAACCTCATCCCTTGCTGAGTAGAGCTCAAGTTGCCCACCTGCTTGCCCCCTGGGTCGGGGCCACTCACACATCTGTCCATTGCTGAGATGAGAGGGCATCGTGTTGGCAACAATGACATTCGTGCCCATGTGTTCCTGCATCAGATGTGGGTGCAGGGGATGATGGGCATGAGGTGCATCACTGGAGGACCCTGCAGGTACAGAGAGACTCAGTCAGGTTGGAGAGTCTGATAAAGACCATGGGCCTTGAGGTACCTCTTCCTCAAGTGTGGCCAGTCAACCTGTTTGTCCAATATTGACAGTGCCTGTTGGCTACCGATTTCTGGGTTAGTAAACTGGGGCTTAGCATTCCTATCCATAGGTTCCATGAGGGTCTTGAGAGGACCCAACAAACCAAGAGAACAAAAGTTAAAAGAAAGAAGGAGCGTGTAAGGAAGCTGTGAGATCTAAATATTCTAATGAGTAGTGTATTGGTTGAATATGAATGTAATGGATTTAATCAATGGCTCTCAAAGCTCCATGGCATGCAAGTCCTTCCATTTGGTGCCAACTCACCTTTAGCCTTGTTCCCCCCATGCCTCCGCTTCAGCCAAACTAACCTACTGATAGCACCTGAGGGTTCCCTGTACTTCCCTCTCTCTCCTTTTGCTCATGTTCCTTCCATGAAAGATGCTTCCTCCACACCCCCATGTCCACCAGTCCAAATTCCAGCTCAGATAATTCCACCTTTGGGAAGCCTTTCCTGATTCTCCATACTCCAGTAGGAAATAAACCTTTCCTTCCTTGGAATTCCCATAGTAATTTATCTGTAACCCATCTTTTGGGAACATCTACTTTTCTGTCCATGAGCATTACAATTACAGATATATTTTTCTTCTCTTTGAGGGCCTAGCAAAGTGTCTAGAACACAGTAACTGCTTTAAAAACTGTGTCAGAATAATACCATATAAGATATAGTTTGGTAATGGCTGTGGTCAGTGGTGTGCCATGATGGGATTTTTAGGGCTTGCAAGAGGCCTCTAAAGTTTCGATGATAGCTATCAATATTGAGCATCTATTATGTGCCAGATACTGTTTTACAGCACTTTTCATGTTTGAAATAACTGAATCCTCTCAACTTGAGGCCTATAAGGTGGCTATTATTATTGTCCCATTCTACAGATGAGATTATAGGGCCCAGAGAGGTTAATTATTTTACCCAAGTTTATCTGGCAACAGAGCACAAGCTCCATCCTGATCCTTTCTTTTTTTTTTTTTTAAGATTTTACTTCTAAGTAATCTCTACACCCAGAATGGGGCTCGAACTCACGACGCTGAGATCAAGATTTGCATGCTCTTCTGACTGAGCCAGCCAGACACCCCTGTCCTGATCTTGATCTCAATGACACTTGATTCATAATTCACAGGGCCCAAGTGAAAATGAGTTAGTAGTTCTCAACTGGGGGAGATTTGGGGCCCTCAGGGGACATTTGACAGTATCTGCAGAACTTTTTGGCTGTCACCCCTACAGGGGTGCTACTGGTATCTCATGGGTAGAGGCCAGGGATGTGGCTAAACAATATACACAACAGCCCCCACAAAAAAAGATTATCCAGTCCCAAATATCTGCTGAGGTGGCCGTTGGCCATACCATCTCCAGAGACCGCGTCACCTCCCAAGTCCTGAATTCACTTAGATCCTGACTCCTATCCTTCCAGCCCACTTCACTGAGTGCTACCACTGCAAAAATTCTCTCATCCCACCATGGCTGTCAATTCCCTGACCCCCACTTCTTAATATCTATCACCATGGCCCCTAATTGCTGGAGTACCACGGGGCTGCCTTCCATCCTGAGCTTTGAACTTGTCCTCCTGATAACTTCCCCCTGGATGTCTACAGTCCTCTCGAGGTTTGCCAAAGTCCAAATGGTCTCTTGGTTCATCTCCATGGCTACCAGCATCTCAGCCTCTACCTGTTTTCCCTCCATCTTCCTCAACTCAGTAAGTCCTGTCACTCAAAGGAAAAATGTAGGTTTCATCCTTGACCCTTCCCGTCCCCCCTCCCCCACATCCGATCAATCAGCAAATCCTGCGTGTTCTTCCTCCTCGCAGATGATCCAGTTTATCCCATCATGCCTTCGCTCCATCCTCCACCGTCCTACCCCCGCCTGGTGACAGTAACATTCTCAGGGGTCTGCCTCTCTGCACCCCTCTGAAACTCACTTTCTACCTAACATTCAGAGTAGTTTGTTAAAAACAGTAGTCTGATTTTCACTCTTTTTACAGAAGTAGCAATGAAAATAAAATCCAGATTTCTGACCGTGGCCTACATGACTGTACGCTCATGATTTGGTGTCTGCCCATAACCGTCTTCATCTCATGCAACACCCCCTCCCCCACCATCTCACGACCTTATTCTTTCTCGAACACACAAACCTCCCCTGCCTCAGGGCTTTTGCATGAGCTATTTCTGGCTGGAATGTTTTTCTCTTGGCTTTTAAATGTTCTATTTTCTTTCATCCGTTGGGTCTTAGCACAAAGGTCCCCACTTCAGAGAGGCTGTCTCTGTTGGCCAACCTATTAAAATAGGCCCCTTTTCAGTTACGCTCTATCGTAACACTTGCTGAGTTCAAAAATGTAGTTACCCCCTTTATTGTATACTTGGTTACTGTCAGTTCCCACATGCCCTTATGCACACGTGCATGCGCACTCCTACGAAACCTCTGGGAGGGCAGAGCTCTTGTTCTCTGCTGCATCCCCAGCACTTAGAACAGTGACTGGCACACACTAGGCTCTCAGTGCCCAAATAAATGGACCATAGTCCCCATTCTTGATGAAGAAACTGAGGCCCAGGTAGGTTAAGGGATCTGGGCAAAGCCACAGAAGGAGGTGGTGGAGCTGAGAGGTGAGCCTAGGTGTGAGGCTTATCTCTTGCCAGGGAGCCCCGCCCACCTCTCAGCCCCTCCTGGGCCTGGCACGGACCTCCCAGCAGCATCTCCTGCAGCAGGTTGTCGATCTTGGCCATGCCGAAGAGCTTGATAAACTGGATCTGCTCGATCATCTGCCAGGTGATGCTCTGCAGGGTGGGCAGCAGGAGCAGAAGCTCACCGAAGCGGCCGCGGGAGTCGTACTGGCGGTCATTGATGTAGTCCTCCAGGCTCACCTGCACCTGGGAGCGCAGCCGCTTGATCTTGCCCGGGTCGCTCAGCCCCTTGGCATCTGCAATGGGAGGGCATGGGCGAGGGCCCGGCTGGAGCATCTGGGGAGCCAGGACCCAGATCTCTCCTGACTCCTGAGGCCCTGACAGGGGACCTAGTGGCCCAAGGTTACTTGCGGAGTCCTTAGCAGTGCTGGGACCAGGATTCGGGGTCCTCAAGAACCAGGGTACACTAACACATTTATAGCTTCCTGGATGCAGGCAGAAGCATTTCTGTCATATTTCCTGAGATGCAGAACTGGGAGATGGGGGGTGGAAGGGGGTGGGTGGTCAGGACTTCAGGAACATACCCATGAGGGCACCTAGCAACCTCCTCATTACACATGGGGAAAATGAGGCAGGGAGCAGGGAAAGGACTTGGCCCAGGTCATGCATCTAGCGGTTGGCAGATCCATAATGGGGACTTGGGGCTCCTGATCACAGTTGAGGTCCCACTGACCAGACATCAGCATATGTTGCTTCTCTTAGAAGAGTCTCCCCGCTTCCCTCCTCCCTTGCCTGTGTCATCTTGGGGTCTCAGCTTAGGTTTCACCTCCTCCAGGAAGCCTTCTCTGTTCCACCCTCCCAAGCCTGCTTTATGAGTGTCCATCATGCCCTAGATTCCTGTGGTTCTTTTGTCACTACTGGCCACAGAGCACGTAACTGTCTCTTCCACTAGATTATGAGCTCTGGACGGGCAGGCATGTCTTGTTTGTCGTTTTAAACCCAGTACCTAGCATCATGCATGGTCAATATTTGTTGAATAGATAACTAGATGAAGGGATGGTTAGATGAATGGAAGAATGAATGAATGAAAAAAAAAATCAAGGAATAAATTCTAGATCCTTAACCTAGAAGGGGATTCAAGTGATTGTCCAATAGTTAAACTCAACCTTCATAGAGGTCACACATTATTTCCTCTTTCATGGACAAAGTAAGTGGCAGAAAGAGAATTTCACCCACACTTCCAGTCCAGGGCTTGCTCCACCAAGCCACATTTGTGCATGATTTCATTCAGTCAACAAACATTTATGGAGCATCACCTACATGTCAGGCCCTATACTAGCCCCTCCGAGCCAAGTTGCTGGTCCTGACTCAGCATCAATAATTCTCCCCATTTTATTGAGCAATTACTATCTGTCCAGCTCCATGCTGAGCACTGCAGGGGATACAGCCTGGGTCAGGCTCTCAAGGAAACTAGAACCAGAAATCTTACTCTTCGAGAAATGGGGTGTGTGGTAGGCAAGAATATAGGCTTGAGACCTAGAGAGTCTGTAGTTCAAATCCAGGCTCTGCCATTTCCTGGTTGTGTGACTAATCTCCCTGCGCCTCAGTTCTCCTATCTGCAAAATGGGGATAGTAACCACTCCTACCTCAAAGGTACCACGTTGTAAGTAGTAAGTGACATAATCCACATAAAGTATTTAGGATGGTGTCTTAGTGAGTGTTCCATAAACTATGGTCATCTCCCTCTTCATGACTGTCATTACCAGGGGTGATCTCCACGTAGGTGGAGCCTAGCACCAAGGGCAGTGCCTGGCACACAGTAGGTCCCCTCTAACGTGTAAGGTGGGAAGGAAGCAAGCAAGGCTCTGGAGTCCAGCATCTTGATATTGTGAAATGAAGTCAGGCTTTGCACAAAGACATAGCTACAAAGCCATTCTTTAACAATGCAGGTGGAAAGTCAGTAGATGGAATGGGGAGAGGAGAGGCGACAGCATATAAAGACAATCAGTAGAGACACTAAAATCGCAGTGAAAATTCAGGAAGAAGATGGGAGAGAAAAGACAGGAGTGGTGAGAGAGAAAAGTGAAACCCTTACCAAGGGCAGGAGGAAAAATGTGATCGAAAACAGCTAAATCAAGAAAGAGATGGCTTAGCATTTTATTTAGAGCCAGAAGAAACCGTTAAAAGACTCAGAAATGGCTCCCCTGGGGAAGTAGGCTTTAGCACGGAAAGTGGGGTACATTTTAAGTATGTGCAGACATTGTTTTGATAAAAAATTTTTGAGGGAAAGAAGAAAAGATGAAAGGAAAGAAAAGAAGGACGATAGGAGGTCAGGAGAGGAAGGAGGGAGGAGGGGACAGAAGGGAAAGGGGGAAAAGAACAGAACGAAGCCTCTGGAGTCTGTGGGCCTTGTCAAGTCACATCATCCCTCTGAACCTGGGTCTTCTTCATCTGTTAAATAGCTCATGCAAACAGCCTCAGCCAATTGTTGTACTGAAGAATGAGGCTGTCTGTGACTGCAGGGTACATAGCCCAGTAGGAGAGGTCTGACTGAGGGCCTGGAGCCTCAGGGGTGGGTGGGGGGTGTGGGCTGTACCTGGGTCGAAGAAGATGATGGCTTTGAGGCAGGCGTACTCGTTGTCATCTATCTGTAGCTCCTGGAAGGGCAGCACCAGCTCATCGAGGATGCGCATGGACACTCGACTCATCTCTGCCAGCTCTGGGCAGTGCCGAGGGACGATGTAGTCATTGCCTGGGTGGGTTGGGAAGGAAAGGGGATGAGGCCGCCACCTTGGGTGTACCCTTCTCCCCAGCTTTGGACAGCCCTTGCCCTTTGCAGTTGCAATGCCACCGGGACCCACAGGAGAGGGCGCATGGAGATTGTCATGCCCATTTTGCAGATGAGGAAGTGGAGGCCCAGATGAAAGGAATGAGTTGTTTGAAGTCATTGGAGTGGGTCTGGAGCCTGGCTTTCTAGGAGCCTTTCATATCACCCATGCTCCATTCTCCAGTATGACCCGTAAGACTAGTGACATTCAAAGGCCACTTGGGAGGCACCAGTGCATCAAGGTTAAGGGCCCAGATTCTAGAACTAGACTGCCTGGGGTTGAAATCCAGTTCTGCAACTAACTAACCATATATATTTGGATAAATTACTTTCTGTGCCTCCATTTTTTCATCTGTAAAATGGGGACAAATAATAGAGCTTACCTCATAGGGTTGTTGTATTAAAGGCGTAATGTTTGCAAAGTACTCAGACTAGTATCTGGCCTGCAGTGTGATCTACATAAGCACTTAAAGTAATACATAAACACGCCATGGAAGCATAAGTGACATAGACCGGGGGCTGTGCCCTTCCTGGCGGCCTCTTGCTCCCGATCCAGAAAGCACACCAGAGCGCACGAGCAATTCCACGGATAACCCCGACTGAGCTCTAACTTTAATGCTGGAGAACTTCCATTCCTTGCGTCCACATTTCCTTGCATCTGAGTGGAGGATCCAGCTGGGAACACTGGGAAAAGGATATTCTTGATCTTTCTCCCTTGCCCCTGCATGCCACCTTGGAACTCTCCTGTGCCTGGGTGCATTCCATCCCGGGCCTGCCCTCCGCGGAGCCCTGGCTGGGGCAGGCGGCCTCCTTACCTAGAAGCAGAACGTCCTTGAACACCATGGACCGCTTGGTGGCTCCGAGCAGCAGGTGTTCACCAGCATGGGCTCTGAGCAGGGCCACCTGGAAGAGAGAAGGGATGGTGTCTGGCAGCTGCCCCCCTGGGAAGGTGTCTGTACCCCCTGGGAAGGCGCTCTTAGCCAACTCAATGACCCTGGGCAAGTCAGCTTAATGCTTCCCTTGCCTTTACCTGCCTGAACTATAAAATGGGCATCAGAAAACTGCTGCTTCCTCCCATAACCGATAAAACCTGGAAAAGATTTAGCAGGAACCTGGAAGGGGAAAGAACGTGCACTCAGAGCTGGGAGGCCAAATGCTGACTTTATCGTTGAACCGCTGCGTCCTTGGGCAAGCTAAGCTGCCTCTTCCTTCTGGGCCTCATTTCTGTGCCTGATGAAACTTACCATTCTCAGTGTGTGTGTGTGTGTATGTGTGTGTGTGTGTGTTTTCAGCAGAGGTTCAGTGCCTTTCATCAGACTCTCAAGAGGGTCTATGAGCCAGAAAGTTCTAAAACTGTGGGTCCTGAATTCCAACCTAGAGGCCAGCTGCAGAAGATTATGAAGAGTACTTTATAAAATGCAGATTCTGAGGCCCTACTCCCAGAGACTCTGAGGCTGTATGTACGGGGTCGGGGGCGGGGGGGCCAAGGATCTGCATTTAACAAGCTCCCTAGCCGGTTCTGACGTGCAGTTGTGTTTGGGGAAATCACTGCTCTGGAAGATCTCCAGGACACCTGTTCACTCGACATTATGAGATTCTAGGGTTCTGAGAGTGAGTTCCAAGAGGTTGGACATGGATGTTGGTTCCCAAGGCCAAGTGTGAGTGCTGGCCTTGGCAGGGGATGAGTTGACATATTCCTTCCCTGCCGAGAGACAAAGCAGCTTTGGCAGCCTGAAGTCCGAGGCAGGGACCCAGCCAGAAGGACGTTGTCCGTCCTTTCCGAACCATCGACTTTGGGGCTTGCAGCAGGCCCAAAGGACGGCAACACAGCAGCTGGTGAAAGTAGGAGCTGGCTGGTAGGCTCAAGGGTCTTGTCCGCCAGGCTGGGTTGGGGAATTTGGGAGCTTTTTTAGCAGCTAAGCTAGGAAGTAAAAATGCTTTCGTTCATTCATTCATTGGATTGCTCATCCTTTCAGTCATCAAATGTTAAGTGCCTACTAAGCGACAGGCACTTCGTAGGAAGGAAGGATACGAGGGAGGGAGGGGGTGAGAGTCACATGATAAAGAGCGATGGGACAAGAGGGGCTACATTAGATGGGGAGGTCAGAGAAAGTCACTCTAAGGAGATGGCATTGTCTAGGGCATGGAAGGCACATAGTAAACATTCAATAAATACTCATTTGAATGAAGAAAGGAAGGAATGGGTGAATGAATGAATGAATGGGCAAACTCGGTAACTCCCTCTCCAGATCTGGCAGCCACCTGCCCTTCTTCCTCTGTCCTCCCAGGGTTACATCTTGTAAGTATGACAAGAAAGAGGAGAACGGCAAATCGCCTTGCAGGCGAGAGGCCACTCTCCATGACCAGGACAAGGGAGGCCAAGGATGCTTATTACTGAGCACTTCCCATTCACCAGGCACTGCGGAGGGCTTTTGTCACTGACCCCAGTGGCTCTCAAACCCAGGGGCAGAAGCCCTGGAAGCAAATCCCAGCCCTGTGGCTGTCTTGCTCTGCAACCTGGGGCAGATCCCTTTCCCTCTCTAGACCTCAGCCCCTTTATTCGATGCTATCCAGCCTCCTAGGTTTCAATGGATTGATGTCCAAAACAAATCAAGAAGTGAACAAACTTGGAAAGTGGTTCCTGGGGCAATACCGACAGATTTGGGGTGTTCTTTGGAGGACAGTGCCCCCCCCAGTTCTCCCAGGTGTGTCTCAACTCTCTTGGGCAAGATGGGCTCCTTATACACCATGAATGGGGAGCTGGGAACCCTCCTGACACGGAGGCTATTCCGGGGGTGGGCAGGCAGGGTGGGGGTGTTAATGATTGTCCCGTGTCGCTGGCCACCCGTCACTGCTCTCTAAGAATGCTCTGAGCCCCAGCCAGGGAGGTTTGGGTGGGAAATTGAGGTTAACAATTGCTCAGCTTGGGGGTATCTTATTGCCCTGCTGAGCCCCTGGGAAGGAACAGAAGGGATTAAACATTAATACAGACTCTCCAGCAGAGGGGACCAGGGCCAGCACAGAAGGAGCAGGGGAAAAGGCAGGGGCAGCTTGGCCGAGATCCCTGGCCTGTCGTCCCTGCCAAAGCAGGGAGGGATCCATGAGACAGAGCATCTGATCCAGGCCCCAGTGTGAGGGTGAGGACCAGCCAAACCAGTGTTTCCACAGTGTGTCCCACCATAGGATACTAACAGGTGTTCCAAGAGAGTCTGGGGCTTAAGGGAGTTTGAGAAGCCCTGGGTCCCACAAAGTTCAGTGCCTTCCTTGCTTGAAGGACTTCTCAGAAACCTTCACAGACTAACACATGTTGCCAGTGTGTTGTGCAAACGTGCAAAACAGAGAAGCAAATGCACCAGGAGCTGATGTCTGGGGCACTGTCCAAGCTTCTCTCCGAGCTGAGAAGGTGACCCAGTCCAACAACGCTTTCCCAGACAAGAGAGGCCTAGAGGTGCCTGGTCAGGAACGATCATTTGCAGTATCTCAGAAACTCATCTGTCCTCAGATGTGCGTGCCCCCCCACACACACACACCCTCATCTTGCTGCACCAGCCTCTTCCCTCCCCCAGCAGCCCCAGGACAGTTTTGGTATTCCAAAGAAGGTACTTTGGGAAATAAAACGCTGAGTTAAACCATCTTGGTGGGATACAAGAATGAAAGTGACATTTTGGGAAGCCAGCTGTGGCCTGGGCCATGATGTAGATGCCGCATTACATGATTTATGCATTTTAAATGGTAATGTCTTTATTTTCTTCTGAAACAGATATTATAATTCCCACTTTACAGATAAGAAAACTGAGACTCAGAGAGAGGAAGCAATTTGTCCAAGATCACACAGAGCACCAGTCTCAGAGCCAGGGCTTTAGCTCAACGCTCATAATCCCTGGCCCTGGGGCCCTGTCCACATGCCCACAGGAGAGCTGTCTGGTGCAGGAGTGTGGTGGCTAGGAGCCTGGACTTTGGAGCTTGCCTACCAAAGTACACTTGCATGCACAGTGTTCTAATCCCAGCTGTGCTGGATACTAGCTGTGTGACCTTGAGCAAGTTACTTAACCTCTCTGTGCCCCAATTGCATCACCTATAAAATGGGAATGATAATAGTACCTAACTCATAGGGCCACTGGATGGATTAGATGAGTTAAGATTTGTATGGTGATTTAAACAGCTCTGGGCACACATGAGCACCATGTGTGTTCTGTTAAACAGAATCAAACTAATCCGAGGCTATATCCCAGGTGGGCCAGCAGGACCCACCTGCCCAGCGTCCCCACTGCCCGCAGAGTGTCTGCTCTCACCTGGTCGTCCAGAGGGAGCTCGCAGAAAGCAGGAATGTACTTGGCCCACTCAACGAGCACCAGCAGCTGCTCCTTCATGGACTCGCACACGTCTGCGATGCTGGCGATCTTTTTCGCCCGAATGTCTCCGTTGATCCCGGAGACAGGGGAGGTGATCTGGCGGAAGTGAAGGACAATGTTGGGGATGGCCAGGCCCTCCCTACAGCCTCTGCCCCCTGCACAGAGCGCCGCCCCCCACCCCCACCCCACAGATAGTTTCCCTGTCGGGAAAAGGGGAGATGGACTGTGGACGCTCAGGAGGAAGCTCAGGGGCAAATGAAGAGAAGAAAAGATGCTGACGAAGGCAGATATGAGGAAGGAGGACTCCCCCTGGGCCTCTACCGGGTGCCTGCCCCCCACTTCCTCCTCTGCCAGCTCCTTGGAACCCCAAGGAAACCCTCAGCCCTATAAGAGAAGCAGGGGGAAAAAAATCATCATTCTCATCTGACAGGTGAAAAAACCACAACCCAGAGAGGTGCTGTGACTTGCCCAAGGTCACACAGCAAGGGACGGGCTGAGCCCGTTTGCCAAGCTGTCTACTTGTCCACTAATCTGTTCTCTTAGGGCTAAACTGATCTCAGGCCTTCAGTGAAAGCCAACTCTGCCTGGCCTGCAGAATGTGTGCAAAAGGATGAACTAGAAAGTGCCACGGAGTGCCAGGCCTGGGTTCGAGTTCTGTCTTTGCTACTAAACTGGCTCAGTTTCCCTTCTGGGATATCCCAGGGCCCTTCAGACGGTTGCTCCAGGGCCTGGCTGGGGAAGACAGAGGTGGAGGCGAGACTCCTCTTTGGTGTGTGGGACCACCAGGTTGTAGAGGGTCATCCGATACCTGCTGGGACAGGACCTCGGCCTGCAGCAATGCGCTGATGGAGGGCAGGCTGCTGTCCTCATAGCTTGACCGGCGAGTGCTGATCCGGTCCCGCTCATTTTGCACAGCTGTAAGGAGGCAGAGAGAGGTGAGGATGGGGGGACAGGGATGGGGCGGAGGGGAGGGTGGTCCCCTGACTGCTGAAGAGCAGATGAGGTATGAGGGGAGAGAGTCTGACCCGTAAGGAGATACTGCAGGGCTGACCTGGAGTAAAGGAAACACGGTTGGAGGTGGGAGGAGGGGCCATCCGGCGGGCAGAGCCTGGATCGGCATGCGGGAATGAGGGGAGACGGATTCCAAGCCAGCGTGTGGAAGAACCTTCGAAGCACCAGAACGGCCCCCCACCCAGTACAATGGGATGTGGTGGGAGTGATCCACTGGTCCCTGGAGGGATGCAACATAGTGACGCCTTGGCAGAGGGTTTAAGATGGGTCTTGAGTATTGAAGAGGAGATCTATCTAGATGACAGATTTTTAAGCTCTGTTTTGGAAAAGGGTCCCTTTTGTTCCAGATGAAAGTGTGTAAAACAAGGAAAATGAATGGCCCTGGGTGACATGGAGATGGCCCAGGCATTCCTGAATACCGAGACAGAAGACCCGGAAAAGAGGATCTGGAGGCCCCCCTGCCCCGACAGTCTCATCCATCAGCAGGAGGCTAACCCTCCCTCTCAGAGACAGCACGAAAGAGCCCCAGCTCCCTCCTGCCCCATCGCTGGGCTCTCCTCCAGGAACTCAGAGCCCCAGGCCTCCACTAGGGCCTCCCTACTAGGGCCCCACACCTCCCTGCGCCTCCCCATCCGTGTCAGCCCTGGCCTAAGATAGAAGACGGACCTTCTGCGGCCCTGGCCCCGTCCCCTGGAGTCCAAGAGGCCTCACTGTGGAGTGAGGCTTTGCTGAAGCTGGCAGGAGACCCGGTGCCTGTCTGGAACTTGCCACTCACTCTCTCTGTGCTGGTACGCATCACATCCTCTCTCGGGGCCTCAGTTTCCCATCTGTAAGCTTGTCCATCTCTCTTTCTCAGACCACCTCTGCTCATGCCCACATGCCGTCCGGAACCCCCGGCTCCGGGCTGGTCCCTGCTGCCTCTTCCCAGGAGCAGCTCAGGCTCTCCTCGCTGGTCTCTTTGCTTCTGGCCTCGCCCTGACTGTCCGGGCACCTCTCCGAAGACAAAGCCATCTGCTACAACCGAACCCGGTCACATCCCCCCACTGCTCAAAACCTGTGACTCCCCACCTCACGCGGAGCGAACACCTTCGTCTAGGATCCCACTCTGCCCGCCAAGCTGCCGCTGCCCCCCTGCCTGGAATCCTGCTTCCCCCACAGCTTAGCTGCTTCTTCGCTTGGCGCCTGGCTCCGTGCAAACGTCACCTTCTCGGAGACACCCACTCTGACCGCCCTGTCCAATGCGGCATTCCCTCCCTCAGGCTCTGCACTTTATGTCTCCTGCTTTCCTTCTCTTCGGGGGCCCTTATTATAGAATCTCTTGTTCATTCCTTTACTCTCTGTCTCTCGATGGGAGGGAAAGCTCCAGAAAGCTAGAACTCCGTTCCTATTCACTGCTGCAGCCCCAGCGACTAGCACAGAGCTTGGCGGACGGCAGGTGCTCAAGAAACGTCTGTTGAGTGAGCGAAAGAAGCTCTGATTCCTAGGTGGGCCCTATTTCTCAGTGGAATGTCCACTGCCGCCATTCAACTTTCTCTTGATTTCACACATCACTGAAATCAGAGAATGAAAGGCAGACGGCGTAAACCGGGCCCCAGCGTGAGTGGGCTAGGACAGCGGTCCCCAGGTCGGAAATCTCTCCTGACACCCACCGCCCCAGCCAGGGCCAGCCCCAGGGCCGCTCCCCTGCACACGTGGCAGCCCTGCTCGTGACACCCCTCCCAGCCACCAGCGCCCGCACCCACCAGGGCGCCGAGGGGAGGCGGGCCCAATAAAAGGGCTGCTGTCAGCAGCTGCGGATTGGGCTCCCCAAGGTTAGCCAGTGTTATCAGTGCCCAGCGCGAGCTCAGTCACGGAATGATGTTTTCCAAATGTTTGCTCAGTATTAGCAGGGTCGGGGACCTAATGTAACTTCTATTGAATATTAACCGACCCGGCCAGAGGAGGAGAGGAGGATGAGCCTGTCTTCCCCGAGAACCCCTGGACGGGGCCCATGGGGGGGCTGGGCCGGCGTTCTGAGGAAGGGCCCATCAGAGTGCCCCTGGCCCATGGCCAGCCTGTTCCTGCTGCACCCCAGCCCGGCTTCCTGGGTGGGCTTCCATCCAGGGGCTGAGCATTCGTCCTGGGTCTGCCAGCCGAGCCCCAGGTAGGTGCTGTCTCAGGTTATAGGACAGAATCGAGACCTGCTATTGGGCCCACTGACCCCCAGCTTTCTCCCCAGAGTCTTTGTCCCTTCAGGGAACCCACTTCTGGCCACTGTGGAATATCCTCTGGCCAAAGCTCACAGGCCTATGGGATTTGGAACCCTTCCCTGTGGTCAAGGGGAAGTCTCAGGAATCCAGACCAGAGACGATGCCCCCAGGCCGAGCCCTCCCAGTTTCAGTCCAGGGAGCTTGGTGCGTGCCCAGCTCAGGGGAGCCTGACTCCACCCGATCATGTCGCCTGTCTGGCTTGAATTTCCCCACCTGTAAAGTAGGGAGGGGGTGGATTTGGTGACCTTGCCTCCATCTGGCCAGTCCATAAATGCTGTTGGCAGCACAGGCCTTCCTGTGGTCAGGGACCACTTCTGGGTTTCAGTTTCTGAACCCTAAGCTATCAGAGAAGAGAAATGAAAACTTGTCCCAGCTCTCCTGACCACGGAGGCTTCCGCCGAGAATCTCTCTCGGCTTTGGGGACTTCCCACCAGGCTGACGAGGGGTGTTGGGACTACAAGACTTTGGTAGAACTGGTAATACTCTATCTTCCCAGAGCCTGACCACCGTGACGACCGAACACCATGCCCCCCAGACCTACTCTCGAAGCCATCACGCAACTGCAGGTGCCAGGATCTTCCGGTTGACTGAGGCATGCAAATCAGCACCAACACTAACCAGCTCACACTCACGTGCCATCAGCCAATGCTCCCATCCTCCTGGCCTAAAGCCTCCTTCCCTGAGCCAAGAAGCTTGGCCTATCTTCGAGGCTACTAAAGCAGAATGGCCTGGGGCTCTCCCTCCCCTTCCAGGAGCCAGGATACGGGGCTGCAGCCTCCTTGGCAGCTCAGGTGGAGGACCAGGGAACAAAGACACATGCCCCCAGGGGGACTGGTAGATCAGGGGGACTGGTAGATCAGTGAGTGGGTCGCTGGACTCCCAGAGCTGGAAGGCATCATTATCACCTCCTCATTTACAGACAGGAAAACCGGAGTCCAGAAGAAATGTCTCCAAAGGGACACCCGTGTCAACGACTCCGGATGTTTAGCAAGAGACATATATAAAGACTGACCACGTGTAGGCACCAGGCCCCGTACAAGCTAGGCAGGCTGCCAATCCTTTTCCCACCTGCCTGCCACAAGGCCTGAAATTTTACCTCGAGAGCTTCATGCTCTGGAACCTGACACCTTAGGCTGTGGGGGAACAAAACCACTGGCTGTGAGAACCACAGATCCTGAGGCCCCTACATTGTATGCTGTCTTTCCCTTGCCTCCTACTGCTCATGTGTGGGTTATAGTCCCAGTTCTCACATTCCTCATTCCACAAGGTGGTACCCAGCTTGAAGGAGAGGGTGTCAACCCCACTGAAAACTGGGGAGCCGGGAGGGGGGCACTGCCCTTTGAAAAAGCTCCCCCCCCCGACCTGAGACCCTGCGCCCCGCCCACCCAAGATCTGGGCGCTATCATCGTGGAGTTGGCAGCAGGAGGGGGCCTTGGAACCCCCCCGGGGCCTCATAGGGGTCAGCAGGCCCAAGTCCCCAACAGGACTCGTGAGCTCAAAGCAAGGCCCTGCAGGGACGACACACAGACCCACTTCCTAGGGAGAGGACAGGCGGAACAGGGGCTCCGAGGCAGAGATTGGGGGGAGTGCCCCTCCTTCACGGTTGGCTCGGGCAGCTGGTCCTGGTTCCTGTCCTTCGGTGGTGTGTGTGTACAGGACTAGACCAAGGGCTGGGCTGGTGGGCGAGGAGTGAGGGTCTGGTGCCAGAGCTGGGGAAGGTGAGCGGAGGGGAGAAGGAGACGGAGTAGTTAAAGGATTTCTGCTTCCTGAGCTCGGGCTGCAAAAGTTGTAAATGTCCCTGAGGTCTGGAGGTCATAAAGGAGGGAACGTCGAGGTATCGCCGGACAGCACCCAACTCTAGTCTGAAGCACCGGGGGCAAACCTCAGGGCTTGCACTGAGCAGCTGTGGGGCCTCAGGCAAGCTGCCGAACCATTCTGGGCCGCAGTCCCCTCATCCAGGAAAAGGGAGAATGACCATAGTGCCAGCCACATAGGGCGCCAGGTCACTCGTAGAGAAGCCCTGCCCAGTGGCTGGCGTCTGCTGCTTACCGGAGGCCTGGAGAGGACTCTAAATGTGCTCTGGTCTTCCCCTCCACCTCCACCCAGGGCAAGTCTGACGCCTGGTTCCCGCTCCGCAGAACGTGAAAACTTTGGGTCACCCGATACTCAAGAGTGAAGACTAAGGAACGGGGTGGGGGGGGCACTTGTCCCGGGGACAGGAAGCTCAGGAAGAGAGACCCCCCACCCCGTCCCCACGGCCCACATTTGCTGAGTCTAGGTGGCAGGCACACGGACATTTGCAATGTCACTCTCCGCTCTCTTCCTCTTTGCAACAGTACATTAAGAGAAAACGCCCAACTGGGCGCCCGTCGTCGCCGTGGCGCAGGTAGGGGTGGTGATGGCTGGGAACCTGAGCAGCCCAGAGTGAGCGCTTATCTCTTTCTCAAGACCAAGCCCAGCCCCGCCCTGTGGCCAGATTGCCAGGCCCTCCCTCCTCTCAGCCATTAGCCATTCACCCCGGGGCGTCACTGAGTCATAAAGCCTGGTCGCAGTTGTAAATGGCTGTGGCTGGGGGGGGGGGGGGGACGGCGGGGGGGGGGGACACGGCGGGGGGACCAGGGGTGCGGGGGGGAGGGCAGCGGGCGGAAGCTGGAGGACGGAGGCTCACCTTCCTTCTTCATGCCAGCCCGGAAGCACTTCTTGAGCCTGCAGTAGCGGCACTGATTCCTCTTGTCTTTGTCCACCACACACTGCCGACTAAACCTGGGGAGGGCTCGGATGGTGGGATGCAGAAGGCACAGCCCTCCCATCCCAGGGCTGAGCTAGAACGCTGGCCATCCCCGCCTTGACTCCCAGCCTCCCTGCCCCCATCACGAGAGTCATGCTAACCACGAGAAAGGCCTCTTTCGTGGACTCTCTAAGAATCCACCCCTGTCCTGCTGAGGCTTGGAGAGGTGGCACGTAGCCCGGGATCACTCAGCCTGATGGTAGAACTGAGTTGGGAACTCTAGCCCCTTGAGGACGGGGCACTGCTCTCCCTCCCACGTTCTAGGGAAGTCCAGAGCCCCTGGCAGGCTTCTTGTTATGGCTCAGAGCCAGTACGTGGTTGGCCTAAGTGACTCTCTTGTAGGCAGAAGCAGTGCCCCACGGGCGGGGAAGGGCAGACCCCTGAGTGTCAATGGGGGCTCTGCCATTGATTCAAGCTGGATGACCTTGGACAGATTCCTGGCCCTCTCCAAGCCACAGCTTCCTCATCTATAAAACAGGAAGATTCATAGCAACCGTGTCAGAGGCGTGTCGACAGGCGGGAATGAGAAAATATGTGGATGGGACTTGGCACAGCATCTGCGGATGGCAACTCCTCATAACTGAATGCTATTATTTTATTATTGTTGTTACTCAGAATGGGAGGTGCCTTCGAAGGAAGGATCCCCAAGGCCTTGGGAAGCCCTTGGGGTAGGCAGAAAGGCCTGAGGCCAATCCCCTATTTGCCCCAGGAAAAGCACCAGGCTGGGGGATGGGCCCCATCCTCTGAGGCTTCAGAGGAGGCTTGATGCCAAGCCTCGTGGATCCTCATTTGCTAAATCGGAAAAATAACGATGGGCTTGTAGGGCCAGTTAAATACATACAAAGACTCAGTATGTCTGACATACAGTAAGTGCTCAGTAAAGGGCAGCTGGTAGCTTTATGATCAGTGAATGAGGTTCCTAGAATGGATGTTTCCATCTGGATCCCCGAGGCCTCAGAAACCAGAGGAAGCTTTAAGGCCTCAGAAGGCAGATGCCTCTGGGACCTAGTGAGGGAGCAGACAGACTCTGGGGAATCATTAGCCCAAGCGTACCCATTTCCCAGCTAGAGAAATCAAGCCTCTAAGCAGGGGCTCCTCACCTGCAGGAGTACATGTGGTTCTTTCTCACGCTCCTCCGGAAGAAGCCCTTGCAACCGTCACAGCTCGAGGCACCGTAGTGTTTCCCAGTGGCCCGGTCCCCACAGATGGCACACAGGGCGCTGACACCCAGGCTGTTGGGTGCGTTGAGGTTGGCACCTTCTGATGGGGATGTGTCTGCACCAGAGGAGACAAGTGTGAGGACTCAGGAGGGGCCCTGCTCTCCTGGGGGCTTAGGTACAGAAACCAATATGAGCATTGTGGGGATCTCCCCCTCAGGGCTTCAGCCTTATCCAGACCCGGGTGCTGTTCCCACTCCCTCAATGACCTTGGGCAAGTCCCTTGGCATTTGGAACTCCTGTTTTGCACTTATTACTTAGGGATGGTTGTGACAATGACTTACCAGAGTCATTAGTGAGGGTCTGCTACTCCACGGTGGAGACTGCTAGGCCCAGTTTTTTCTGGGAAGTAATGAAAACTTGACCACCCCCTGGGATGCATCTGAACCTTAAAGACCCTGACTCACTGGGCACATAGACCCCCAGCATCTGCTCAGAACCTGCTCAGGTCGTATCCAGAGGCCTTGCAAACTCTCCCAGGGAATTGGAAGACATGCACCAAGGACAGTGGCCCATCTGGCCCCCTGGGAGGGTCATGGCAAGGTTCTGGGAATCTTCCAAGTACCACCTGCCTCAGACGCAAAACCATTGCATCTATATAAGTCTGAGAAGGGGGTAAGAGACAGGCGGCAAAGAGCTTGGATGGGGTGCTTGGGGTCCTTGGGTGCTAGTGCTCGTGCTGCCACTAACTCATCTGTGACCTTGGGCGAGTTCCTTTTCCTCTCTTCAAGTTCCCCCTGGGCCTCAGTCTCCCTAACTGTAAAAGGCAGCATGCTGTTCAACTGTTCCGGTTGTTTGCAATTTTTTTTTTAAATTTCAGTAGCCGAACCATCTTTGTGTAACCAGATCTTCCATCAAGGATAGACAGACCTCTTGGAGATGATAAACGCCGTGGACCATCTCTCCGGAAAAAATGCGCGCAAATGCACACTACACAGTCATACATACACGGGTTTCCATGGATCCCCCGAATCCGACCCTGAATTCCTAAGGAACACCCCACTGAGAACTGGAGAGGGGCATCGTGCTGCAGTTAAGGACATACATACATGCTATAGCCCTTCTGCCAAGCTTAAGTCTGAGTTTGCCTACTTCTTAGCCGGGTGACATGGGCTGCCTGAGTTTACTCCATGTCTTTGTTTCCTTGCGTGTGAAATAGGGAGCATAATAATCCCCTAAGACTGCGAGGAGGATTCAGTGAATCAGTGTAGGTGACATGCTCAGTACATAAAAAGCACTGTTATCAGCATTTGTGAAGGAGTATCTTTTCTGCAGAATCAAACTCCTGGAGCAGACGACATCCAGCCTTCAGGCGTAAGCGGACACCGCCGCATCTCATCTCTGCTGTCGCCTGGCTGACATCTCCTAGATTCCTGAGGGTGCCCAGAGCTCGGCCCCCTCCACTTGGTGAATTATTCCCGGAGATGGGGATAATTGTTAAGCCACGTTGGTGCCCTTTCTCCCTCAGCCTCACCTCCCTCAACCCCTGGGGAGATATGACCCCACAACTCCTGGCCGTTCAGGTGGAGGCTGGGGGCAGGGGTTCCTCCATCCTGCGCAGAAGGGGCCGGGTGCTGCTGAGTGTTTCACCTCACCACTGCATTTGGCAGGCAGACTCCATTCTCCGGGTGAGAACACCAAGGCTCAGAGAGGACCAGTGACTTGCCCAGGGTCACCCCACTCCTGCTAAGTGGAAGAGCCAGATTTACAGCCCAGGTGTGCTGGATGACTGTGGCCCGTGCTGGACGACTCTGGCCCACGCTGCCCTTGCTAGGGTGTCTGCTGGGGCCTCGGATGAACAAAGACCCTGCTGTTGTCGCTGCTTCCAAATCAGGGGTGGGAGACAGGTGGGGAGCTCTCCATGGAGAGCTGGAGCCACCAGCTCAGGAGGTATATAAAATGTAATCCCAACACTCACGCCCCTTCAAAGGCCAGTAGAGAATGCAGACCCTTCTTACGGATGCCCAGTGTCCTTGAGACGACCCATGTGGGGCGAGGACCAGCTACCAGTGCTGAGCACCAGGGGCCTCACCTTACTGAGTCTTCCCGTTAGCTCTGGGAGGCAGGCGCTGTTAGGTGTTCCCATTTGACAGACGAGGAAACAGAAGCTCAGAGAGCTTCCTCAGAGAGGAAGATGGCTTGTGGAGTTCACACAGGTAGGAAGGATCTATGCCCAACTTTTGAGCCCAGATCTTTCTGGCTCCTGAGCCAGAGGCCGTGCTATCCACGGGACACCAGTGGTGGCCTCTGCTTCTGGTGCATGCGACTCCTGGAAGGTGCAGGCTCTGAAGGGGTGATGGGGCTGGCCCCAGGGAATAGTCTGGGGCTGGGCAGTATCCAGGAGTGTGACAGCACACAATGTCCCCGGGGGTCACACGACACCCTGCCTAGTGCAGAAGCTTTTTGCTTACCATTTGCTGTGATTTTCCCCTCAATTCCCTTACATGGACACTCCTCAAAGCTGGCTGGCCAGCAGGCCTGCGGTGATTAAACCCATTTTGCAGCAGATAGAGAGGCCAAGCAAGGGGACAGGATGTGCCCGAGGTCGCACACTGGGTCCACGGCAGGAACAGGTGAGCAGCAGGTGAGGCTGACCATGGGCATGGCAGTCACATCTTTCTGACTAAGCCAATCTGACCACAAGCATCACAGACCTTGGCTGAAGCTGCAGAGCCATGGAAGGAAGGCAGGTGGCAGGCTGACCTTGGTCACCTGCCACACACCTTATTTGAGGCTGGCCTGGGGCCTTTCCCCTCTAGAAGCTTCTTAGCTTCCAGGCTTCCTCCCTTCCCCTACCTCCTTGGGGAGGAGAACCTCCCACCCCAGCTTCAGATGTGCTCTTGGTGGTGTGGGAACAAATATATAAACCTGGAGAGAGACAACGTGGGCAACAAAATCAGCTCAGAGAGAAATGGACGTGTGGCTCAGGTGAACCTCCTTTGGCAAACGGCAATTATCAACGCCCTGCATATCATGTCTGCATAATCGAGTTTAGCGGAGAGTACTGATCACCCCCCGGTCCAGGAACGCGCACCTGGACAGGAGCAGGTACAAACAGGGGCACGAGACAGAATGCGCATACAGGACATCCGTCCAGAAAGCACAGGGCACACTAACAGATCCGCATCCACAGCGCCTGTGTGCGAACATCCACAGATACGCAGACACACACTCACTGCTGCTTCCGTACACAAGCAAGACAAACACACGCACCTCTAGACACACCAGCGAACACAGGTGCAGTAATCAAATACAAACGGAAACGGACAGAACAAGCGCACACAGACAAATGAACACAAACATGCAAATGGATTCCCGGAGGCCCATACGTGCCAACACAGGACCCCCCCCGCCCACACAGGAGTGCACAGAAACTCGTGCACACACACCTAGACGAGGCCATGAGCACACCACAACATACATTGCTGATTGGCATCTCACTGAACAGAACTTCCCTAAGAACTCCATTTTCTAAGTGGGGCGTTCACCCCAGGAAAGTCCCAAAGACACCCAGTGATGCCTCCATCCAGAATCTCCAGGGACAGAACACACCTTTCTATCTCTCTGGACCTAAGCCCAAAGGGTTCAGGAAAGGGCATAGTCGGGCCCAATTATTGGAGCTAGACGCAAAGGGGGAGGTCACCATTATGTCGCCGCTCCCAGTGACGCACTGAGCAGAGATAGCCTTGAGGTACCAGGGACTGGCCGGGCCAGATAGGAATACCTGGGATCCACTTTTGCTGGAGAGTTGCCCACGCAGGTCTCCCCTCACCCAGAATGCCCCTGGTCGCTGTACCTGGGCACACCTGTTTCACCTGTACTGACCTCTAGACCCGACCTGCCCTTTTCTATCATTCTCCTCCCAGCCCAGCATTGAGTGCCACAGACCCGCTCCCCAGCGGCACACCTGGCACACCTGGGCGCACCTGCCCCCACCTACCATTGCCCATCGTCAACACCTGCACATTCTCGAACTCGAGGGTGGTGTAGGCTGGGTCCAGCGCGGCACTGTAGTCAGCCATGTCCATGTCGACGAGGGTTTTGGAGAGGCGCATCCTCCCCTCCCACACCTCGGCCGCTCGCCCTGCCCAGGATGCCCACCCCGAAGTCTCCGGGCAGAGCCCCGGCCCCCGCCCTCCACCCTCCCCACCGCCTCCTCCCAGGGGCCCTCTCTGCCTTCCTGCGTTTCAAACCGTCCTCTGGGAGGATCTGCCGGGAGTCTTGGCCTAGCCCCTGTGAAGGGGTGGAGGCTCTGCCGGGGAGGGGTGGGGGTTAATGGTTAATCGGCTCCCCCACTGGCGGAGAGGCTGGGCGGGGCTGCAGGGATTTGGCTATTTGTTGGTTTCTGGTGGACACCGGGGTGCTATTACAACAGTTGGGGCCCTACCTCCCCGATATTCAGTTATGGATTTCTGCAAGATGGGCACGCTAACTCGCCGGCACTCATTTGACCCCTGACTCAGCCACCCCCCCCCCCAGGTCATTGTTGCCCCAAGTGAGGCATTCTAACTGATATGCTGAGACACTGACAGCCCACCTCCAAGATGCCCTGATTCAGTAACTTCCCAAATCATTGACTTCTACCCTCAATGCTCTCGAGGAGATAAAGGTGCCTTGTGGCACGTGAATTAAAGGCCTAAATCCCAGGCCCCAGACACCAATCTTCTGGATCCTCCTTCTGGGAACTCCCTTCCAGTTGCCCACCTCCCTGGGGCATAGCATGGACTCACCCCGGGTTCTCCTCCCCTGCTCCCCATGACACCCCCTGTGGCCGCCACCAGCCCCCACAGCGGCCAGTTGTTCAAGCCCCGCCAGACGCCGTCCCCCAGTGCCCTCACCTCCTCCTGCTTCCTTCCCCCGCCCCCCTCAACGGCCGGAGACTTGCAGCCCCATAGACCTGGATTACACTCAGGTGCCTAGCCCCTACCAATCATGACTTAGGGCAAATGATTCTCCTCCTGCAGCCTCAGTTTCCTCCTCTGTAAAAGGCATCATCGACCTCAAACGGTGACTTGAGTATTAAACCAGATGGTACCAGGCAGCACCTATCAAGTGTACATCCCTCCTCCCCCCACCATCCCATTTCTATCTCCCTCTTCTCTCCACCCTTCGCCTCCTTCTGAGGGGCCTTCGTGGGCCTGTCGCCCCGGCAGTCGCACAGGGCTGTGCGCTTAGGTCCCTGTGTTTGCTTTAATGCTCTGCTGTGGCTGAGATTCTGAGTGATTTCTGAAGGCGGCGCCTTGCAAGTTTGGCAGCTGGTTGTGCCTGCCTTCTGCAGCGCTCACTCTGTTCTCGTCATGCCCTCCGGCCCCCTGGGCCCTCGGCACAGGCCCTGCCAGGAGCTCCCCATGTAGCCCGGGAGGTGAGGTCGCAGTGCAGGAGGTAGAAAGTGCAGGCAAGGGCAGAAGGGTCTAGACTTGGGAGGCTGGGAGCCCGTCCTCTTTGGCCAGCTGGAGCAAGAGAGGGTCAATTAGCGACAGCCGATGAGCGAGTAGCGAGGGGGTGTGTTAGTGATGGAGTGAATCAAGGAATGAGTGGGTGAATTAGTGAAAGAGTGAATGAGTCAGTGAATGGGTAAATAGGTGGCGGGGTTTCTGTGTGGGCAAATCAGTGGGAGAGGCGGTGTGTGTTTGAGGGTGGGCAGAGGCATCTCCCTCGTTCTTCCCGTTATTAGAAGCCCCTTCTCTGCCCTGTGTAGCCTTGTTCTGCCCCTCTCCATTGTCCCCCCGGAACTGAGATAGGGATGTGATTGTTCTGGAGGGGAAGAGAGGCTGGATTTGATGTCAGGAGACCCGGGTTTAGGAGCTAGCTCTGTCACTATTCGGATGACTTTGTTCAAATCACATCTCTCTTGGGGCCTCGATCTCCCCATCTGCAAAATGGGGAGATCTTGGCCCATTTGTCTGTTAGTCAGGACAAGACTCCCAGGGAGGGAGGAAGACAGACCCCCACCCCCACCCCACAGTCTGCACCTAGAGTTTTGATAAAGGCCTGAAGGAGACTTCAACCACTGGCAGGTTCCTCCCGTGCCCACCTGGGGACATCAGACCCCAGCTCCAGTAGCTGAGACAGAGCTCAGCTGGGCAGGAGACCTGATTGAGGGATAAACACAGAGGAGAAGGAGGGACAGCTCTGGGAGGGGCCCCTGAGGAGCTGACCCCAGGTCCTGCCACCTGTCTGGCACCTGGGATGGGCCACACACAGCTACTCCTCTCACAAGCCAGCCGTATGTGACCTCCACACACGGCGGCTCGTCAGTTCCAAGAGGCACACTCCCCCGTCACCAGAAGTGGGATGTGATTATTGGCCTGTAAGAGTTTCACTGGTAACAAAAATAACAATTTTTCAATCTCTATAGATTACATGTTAGATTGAATTAAATGAGGTCTATGGTCCACTGGGGTGAGCCATGACATGCCACATACATGACCCGTTACAGAGAAGACCCACCAGCTGGATAGTCCACATATGACAAGCTACCAAGTACACAGAGCGTGACATAAACACTTTACCAAACACACAACACGCATGACCCACTGCTTATGAGTCGCAGTCTGGAAACCTGTTTCATACCCCACTCACGTCCCACACATCACAACCTACTCAGCATGTAAATTTATCCACTCTTGAACTATAACTGCCCACATGTGAACTTGCATAATTGATTACAGACATGCTCTATTGCACCCTTAGCCGACCCCAAACATTATCTTCTAGAAACATGTCCCTCATATAAACGACACGCCGCCTATAAGATCTACTGGCTCTGTGATCTCAAGCAAGTTATTCTTTTGAAGCCTCAGTTTCTCCTTCTGTAAAATGGGCCTAACTTGTAGTTTGTTGTGAAGATTAAATAAAATAATATTATAGGGGTTCTTAGTCCTCCTTCCCTCTCCCCCACCCCAAACACCACTTTGAGGGTAAACCACAGGCCTTGAAATCAGACAGAGCTAGGTCAAAATCCAGGCACTGCCAACTTCCCGAAACTATGACATCAGGTCCCACCCCTCCCCGCCTTAGTTTTGGCATCAGATAAATGGGCTGGTACCTTTTTTGCAGGGATGGTGTGGGCATTAAATGACCAAGTGTAGGCATCTGGTCAACAGGGGCAATTATCACTGGTGGTTGATTCCTTGACCCACCAGCCACACAATTGGTGGCAATCAGGACCTCTGCTCAGGAGAGCTCCTGGGGATGGCCTGCCCAGCCATGGACAAACCCGGGCCTCTGCGCCATCAGCTCGGCAGCCTCTCTTGCTCTCTGCCCCGCCCCGTGGCCTGTCTGACCCCACTCGACATGCGGTGGCTCCCAGGGGATAACAGAGGGAGAGGTCCAACTCCTTCATGTTGTAGATGGAGAGATGGAGGCCTCTAGAAGGGCAGGAGGGCTCGCGTGGGGCAGCCAGGGGGGAGGGGCTGCCGCAGACCCAGCTGTGGGCAGAGCGCTCCAGCCTCCAGTGCAGACAGTGGTGAAGAGAGCTGCCACTCTGGACCACTTCATTTTCCTTTTAAACCACAATAATGGCTAATGTTTCTGGAGAGATTCTGTGCTAGGCCCACCCAGTGCTAAGACCCTTCCACTCTTCTTATTTTATCTGCTCTGCTTTACAGATGACAAAACTAAGACTCAGAGACAAGAAGTGACTTGCCTAAACCCACACAGGAGGGGCTGTAATTTGAGCCCAAGTCTGACTCCAGGGCTGAAGGGCTCCCCCCCATATACTGCCTCCCTCCAAGAATCCTAGACAGGACGTCGGAATTCGGGAGTGCTGGAGCTGGTGATTCCATCACATTACTGCCCGGAGCTCGGGGATCTGAGGAGCCAAGGAGCCTGTCTCTGGTCACATGCAAGTTCAGAGGCATCCTCCAGACACTGGCCACCCCAGGCTGCCTGGCATCTTAGCTTCCCCTGGGCACTTACCACCCCACTATCTCTGGTCTTTCCTCGCCCCACCCCCACCCCCCCGGGGAGTGGTGCAGGGAACCCGGACTTATCAAGACAAAGAACAAAAGTCGTGGGGGAAAGAAGCCAAGAGCCATCTCCACTCTGGGGTAGGGCCCTCCAGTTTCGCCCCTTTGAAATTTCAAATTCCAGTTTGTGGACAAAGTCCTAAACTTTCTCACAATATAGGTCCCCAACCACTGACCAAACTCCAGTCCAGGCAGCCAGCTGGTCAGGGGCTGGCCCGGCCCTACCGCGTCCCTTGGCAGCATTCAAGTCCAGGGGGAGGGGTCCTGGGCTGGCTGGGGTCTGCCAGGCCATCCCTGCAGACAGGGACCACCCCATGCGACAGGGACCCCCGCCTGCCATCTGAGAGGACAGCTCTTCCTGGAGCTGGGATCTGTCGCTTGCTGGTACCAACAGCAGATTATCAGGTAAGCCCCCTCCCTGTTCTGGGCACCTTCTCTCTCCCTTGAATTCCTAAAATGCTGCCCATACCACCCTCCTCACCTGGATAAGGCCACATTGGCTTAATCCAGCCATGACCTCAGAGAACTTCAAGACTGGAAAGGGTGTCTCAACCAACGCACCCATTTGGTGGATGGAGACACTGAGGCCTCCAGGGCAGTGGCTGCTGACGGCAGGTTGAACCATAGACCTCAGGCCCCTCCCTGAGCCCCAGAGGGTGGAGGGGACCTGCTCAGGGCCACACAGCGGTGGCGGGGGAGGCCTCAAAAGAAGACCCCGAGCTCGGTGAGGACCCCTGTCCTTCATCCCAGCCCTCAAGGGCCCTGGCAGTGCCTCCCGGGGACCCTGCACGGGACAGCGTTTGTTCCCTCAGTCGCTGATGGCCACGGGGTTGCCGTGGGAGTACTTCCGAGAGGAAGATGAGGGAGCTCGGGGCTGAAGGCCAGTGGCTTTGGAAGGAAACAACATTCAGGTGGTTAACTGATAACTGAGCCCCATCCTTGGGCCCCCAGAAGCCTCCTTCCTCCCTCTCCTCAGCGTGATTAAGACGAACTTACTTGCCTGCTAATCATTGCTGAGCCTGTTGATTTTGCCTTAAAAAATTAACTGGGCATGAGTTTGCGGTTTGCCTCACCCCTAACCCTGA